TTTTTTTTTTTTTTTTTTTGGGGGGGGGGGGGGCATTTTTGGGAATGTCCAAATAGCACGCGACTTTCCGAGTTGCAACAAGTTTGAAGCACATTGAAATCGGCGCTGGTCGACTGAGATGGGCTCGCGGCGATGCGCTTCTGGGTGCGCCCTTGCATTCCTTGGCTGGCGATGGCCAGGATGCGGAAGTGCGGCACTCAAGTTGCTCCTGTTGCAAGCATTTCACCCGCTGCAACTGTGTTGTGCACGACGTGCCTGTCCCAGTTCTGCGCCATACCTTCGGAGAAAGTTCACTTCACGGTCAGGGTTCAGGAAATCCTGTTCTTGTCATGCAACATGAATCAACCTAAACGCTGAACCCTAGACTCAAACTCAAACTCTTCATTACAGCGATAGCCTTGCGTGTCGTGAGCGTGCCTGAGACTCGAAACCTCCTCCTCCCCACAGAGCTCGTCTTGGCTCGAAGTAGCGGTAGAGCGAGCCTCGACGCTTTCACACATCCGCCATGGGATGCACCGCACTTAGCAGGGCTCAACGTCACTGGGGGTTCGGCGCGTAATACCGTCCTTAGCTCTTTACACAAGATGGACCCTGTGAGTCAGAAACGTAGCCGGCATCGCGATGCCTGGTTATGATAGAAACAGACATCGGGCAGTTCGGGCTGTCATAGGTGCAAGAAGCGGCCACGAGGCCCATGCACAACCGCACTGGCATCACCATGGTCATCGACACTTTGTCTGTCACAGATTGAGCCATGTCATGTCCTTCGTGGAAGGAGTTCCTAGTATGCCCATGCGGGTGTAGATACAGTTACAGACATGCCATAGGTGCGGGACTCAGTTACATTGCCACTGCGTAGTTAGTCATTTTTCTCGTTCACAACAATCCATGCTGCTGTATCACATCTTGATACCTCCTTATCGGCATGCGGAAAATGCTTGAGGTGTTTGGTGCTGGTGTGGGATCGGCATTTCACTCAATGCACCATAAACCCTAAGCCCCGAAGCCCTAAATCCTGAACCCTAAACTTGAAACCCTAAACTACTAAACGCCGACTTCGCACCAAGAACCTCGCCTGGCATGTCCGAGTCGTGAGAGCGTAAACTACTAAACGCCAACAAATCAATTGAGGATGACGAGAAAAGCGGCTGAGCACGGTTTTTTTACAGCCTCAATATCAGGGTATCACCCTTCAAGAAGATTTCAACTTTGCACCTGCCGTGAACACTGGACTCAGGCAGCAACACGAAGGAGGACTGCTGAGAGCTCGTAGTGAGTGCAGAAGCAGGGGAGCAACGCGAAAACAAGCATGCGATGATGGCTGCATCTTCAGAGTGATCTTGGTAGTTTCGGTGGCTTCCTCAACGGGGGTGGGTTTCGACCTTGGCAGCACTACTACTCGTAGGTTTTGCTCCGGCATGCGACTCCGCCCCAGCCAGGAAGCGGCTCGGCCCCTGGTGAAGGAGGTTCGGAGACGCAGCTTTTTCTTTTTTGAACTTGTTGCCGTTTTCCTCCCCTCCTCTTTCCCCACCCGTGTGGCCCCCGTCTTGAAGGAGCGGGCCAAGACAGAAGAGACTATTGGCCTCATGGAGGACCGGGTCTCCCTGGTCTGCAAAGCTTATATTATGTATTATATGTCATATGTTGTATATAATATATAAGATATTATATATGATATATTATATATTGCTCTATGCATGCCCAGTGATGTCTGCTCTTTACACTCAGCCCTCGACAGGAAGGCCAACCAAAACTGGTGAAGTCCGAACACGAGGTCAAGGCCAAGTCTGGTGACAAGGAGCTTTGGTTCTTGGGTTCACCCTCTGTGTCTCTGTGTGAACCCAGAGACTCCACAACCCCTTACTTAAGGAATATACCTTAAATTATATTTATTTATAATTTAGGGTTCCTGTTATAGTTTAAGGTATATTCCTTAGTTAAGGGGTTTTGGAGTCTATGTGAAGATCCAGCCTGGCCGCAGGAAACGCAAAAAATCCTGAACAAGATCACCCGGGGAGAGGACGGCAAGTTCGACAGCGTGTGCGACAGACGAGAGCCGGCAAGAAAGAAAGAGCCACGCTGACGACCTTTGCCCCTGGCCAGACGCACATGCACGGCAGCCGCTTTAAGAAGGGTTTGCCACAGTTTACAAAGTTTACTTCTTCCTATCCCCTATGACAAGAAGAAACGGGAGAGATAGAGAGAGCGAGATAGAGAGGATGGCGAAAACGTCAGCAAAGGCAGACTGAGCCTGAGTGACCTAACATTTCAAGTGGTAATTGCCCCATGCTGAACCTCTTGTGCTTGCCAACTCTATAGAGGGCTGGGCGCGCAACAGAGCGAGGATCCTCGACAAGGTCCATACGCATTGTCCGGATTTGCTGCATCCTGGTCCGCCTTGCTCGCCACTTCCAGTGTCGGGTTAAGCCACCCCCTTTTCTGTCCATCCCTTCGGCCAGTGCCCCGTCTGAACCCGACATGCCTCATCAACTTCTGGTGGATGTTTGAGGGAACTACACGCGCCACGGCCAGCAGGTAGTTCAGGGAGGCTACTACTGCAAGTCAGTACTGCTGGTGAACCCCCATGTTTTTGCAGGACTTCGAGACGAACAAGTGGCGGTGCATGTCCCGGCCGGATCAGGCTGCTCGGCTAGCATTGCCTTTTCCCTGGCTGAAGCAGGTCTAGTACAACATCGATGCAGAACAGCATCTTTGGTTGCGCAAGCTGCCATCGAGTACGAACATTGCGAGAGTGGGATCACAATGCCGCTCCGTGAGTTAACTTTCGAAGGAACTCTCCAGGACAGAACCTGGTGCTAAAGGCGGATCCCTCTCCGTGGGCGTTTTTTGCTCCAGCTGTTGTGTTTGAAGGTTCGAGAACCGAATCGGATCCAGGACAGACTTAACCTCGCGCGAGCAACGTCGTCGTCAGTCATTGTCGTCGTCGCCGTTCTTACTAAAAATCGTTACTGGCGTTGTCGTTGTCGTTATCGCTGTTGCTGTTGTTGCTGTTTTGTTTTTTTTGCTGCTGCTGCTGCTGCTGCTGTTGCCGTTGTGATTCTTGTGGTTGCCGTTGCAGTTGTATTCGCAGTAGCAGTAGTAGTACCAGCTGTTGTTGTCGTCCTGGTCGTGTTATTTTGGTTGTTGCTGTTGCTGCTGTTGGCGCTTTGGTTGTGGTTGTGGCTGTCGCAATGGTTGTTGTTGTCGTTGCAGTCATCGTCGTCGTTGTTTGTGTTCTTGTTCTGACGTGTTGTATTGGTATTACTTTGTTATTGTTCTTCGACACACACTGTGCGGCCACCATTGCTGTCTCGCGATTGTTTTTGGGCACGGGATCTTGCTGAAAGCGCCAAGGCATACTACACCTTAAGCGGCTTTGCCAAGCTTGAAATAGATGCTTGGTTCGCAAGAGCTTGTCTGTTCCAGGCAGGATTGCTTTGGCCGCATTGGTTGCTTCAGATTTGATTGCGGCAGGGTGCTGCGTTGTCTTCCAGAGATCCTATTTCCTGAGACATACACCTGTCGGGCACAAGGACATCATCGAGGCCAGAAAGTTGATCCCTTCTATCACCAGCAGCTTCGAAAAGTACACAGGAGACCGTGCATGTGGCTTAGGATGGTGGCCAGTGGGGTGAGTGATCGTGTTGAGTTCATGTCAGCAGCCTGGGCCTGACCACTTGAGCAAATGGAGTTTGCCTGGAGGAGATGAGCCAGATGGCTTCGTGAAGGTTTACGTTGATGATACTTTCAAGTACTCCACGCATGCCATCAACAACAACCGAAGCCCCAAGTGGAACGACCCGCAGACATTCGACATTGTCGCAGACCTTTCCATGATCCGGGTGCATGTCTTCGACTTGGATGGCGAGCCGGGCTCCAACCTCGAGGATCCCATTGGCTTCGTGGAGTTCTGCATTGCAGACATTCCCTTCGATGAGGCCCGTGGCTTCTGTGGGAAGAGGGCCTGAACGGTAGCATGGCCTGTGGCCTATGGCACTCTGTCACTCTCTGAAACCTTGGCCTCAGGAAATTGATGGATGGTTCGAGCTGCGATTCCCGAACAACCTCCAGGGCATCAACACCGATCGTTACTTTGAGCACATGCATATGCGTGAGGAAGAGAGCCTTGGCTGGAGCTCCTATGAGGTTCTTGGGGCCAAATCGAGAGCAGCCATCGTGGATTGAACCAATCCCATAGATTAGCTCTATCCTACCCTGAAGTTAGCCCGAACTGGCACAGAGAAGTTGGTGGTTACTGATTTGAGAGGCCTGGTGAAAAACGCGTGGGAACATGTCTGCCAGATCCCATTCCCAAATAGTTGTTTGTGACTTGCACCTAGGTCCTAGGTGCGGAAGGCCCTGGTTATACTGTAAGTTTCGGATAATTTTCGATGGTGCACACAGTCTCCTACATCCGGTCAGCACAAGGAAACGGCAATCTCGGCCGACGGAGCCTCCGCAGAAGGCAAAGGGCAACGCTCAGGACCGGAAGCCCATTCTGGCTCCTACATGCTTAAACCCCCTTTAGACTCAGTTGTCCGAGTGCTGAACGCCGAAGCTCAGTTGCGAGGGCTGAAACTCTAAGCCCTGAAGGCATGCCCTAGCTGAGACCCGTCGCCTGGATCCGTGCTTGCTTTGCAAGTGTCAAGGTCCAAACCCTTGACAAAAAACTGACGCCCCTGTGCAGGAAAATCCTGAGCTTGAAGATTCTGAGACTTCGCAGATATTGGTGTTCAGGGGTGTAGCTATGGTCGGATTACGCCCTCGCATGGGTTCTCAGTACACCGGACACTTCCAACCTCCAAGCATCGGAGCCCCGAGGACGTTTACATGCAGAGCGTTGCAAAAGTCCGAAGCGGAATGATGGGCCGGGCACTGAAGAGACTCAACTTTATGGCGGCTGAGCTGCAAGACATGGAGAGTTGGTGTATTGAGTTCATGTCCTAGTTTCGCTAGCGACATAGCAAGATGTTCTGACAAGAGCCTTCGCATCGAAGCGTTTGCCGAATTTGCAGCACGTGTTGCCTTGGCTTTTGTTGTTTCAAGCGGATGGCTGAAAAAAGACCATACTGGCCGAGCGGGTGGCATCGTCTCATTGCTGCTCTTGCTCAGTTCTTGCTTGTGAGTCCAGTCACTCATCTGGATGCCGAGACGAATGTGGAGGTAAGCAAAGGCAGTAGGAGCAGTTCGGCCGAAATCACATTTGCCATCGCAGTAGCAATAGTATAGTAGCAGTAAGTAGTAGTCGTCGTCGTCGTCGTGATGGTGGTGGTTGTCGTCGCAGTCGCGACTGCCATACTGTGAATAGTGTGGAAGAGACTTCTGCCCGATGCCATCCCTGAGGAATTTCTCAGGTTACACGACATGAATCCCTATCCTACAGCTCGCCTGCCAAAGCCTTGCCCCTAAGCAGTTCGTTCTCGAGGCTGGCACGGGGGACAACGAAAACCCGGCGAGCGATGAACAGTACAATGCCGGCGAGATCTTTAGCTGCAGTATAGGAGCTAGGAATACCGCAGAACCGCTTTGTGTATGTATGCAAATGAGCACATGGAATACAGACATACAAGCAGTACTTCGCTCATGGGCCATATAATATATATATATGTATATATATATGTATATATATATATGTATATATATATATATATTTACACACACACATAACATGCATATATGCGCTACCAATCGCTACCAGTTACAGTGGTGACAATGCCACACCAGATGAGGCAACAGGATGACACAGCACGATGCGGCTGCACTACTAAGTGATGTGGAACTGCATACACCGACCACAGTACATTAATTATTTTGAAAATTCAATCTTCACCAAAAGCAGGTCCAGAACTCTGTTGAGTTTTGGCTTGAGTGTGAAGGGTTTTGGTGACCCGCATGTCCACCGTCCTCTCTCTCGCTACAGCCGTGTCGACTTTCTTTGCAACATGACGGACGGGCCTTTGTCTGGCTCAAAAGTGAACAACTGGTCTTTGTCTAAGGTTCTTGGTCTTTCAGGAGATTAGAGAGCATTCGGGGTTTTGCAGCTTACTGCATAAGGGTACGAGATACTATTAGACATCTGCCTCGTTGTTGCGAAAAACTCTTGCTAGATTTGTGCGTGGGTACATGGCTGTACGATTGAAAACTGTCTGTGTAATGCTTTTGGTATATGAGCTTGCGAAGGCAAGGTGCTGCTAGTGCTTCCCGACTTCCGGCCTTCGGTCGTTTGTCTTGCTTTTGCCTGGCTCATGATCTTGCATTCCATATGCGAAAGTTAGGCTTCGTGCCGGCGCGCCGGGTTGTGCTTGGAGGTATGAGACAGGAATTCGTCATACACTCCCTATTGCACTGTTGCACTCGCTAATTAAGTGGTTCTGTTCCTTGGCGATGCAATGAAGCCGCCGCATAGGCGTGTTGCACTCGCATGTCAGCCCTGCAATCCAAGGATTCACCTGAAGCTGCGCCTCAAGCGCGTCGTGAGCGACAACACAGCTTTATTTGCGAAGGCCTTGGTGCCGTCCTACATGACATATGCTGCCTGCCAGCACCAAGCATTCAACCGGGTGCTGTCTCTGCTGGCACCGTCGCATGTCCCGGTCAAGACTCTCAGCGTGCAAAGGCAACCTTCATCCAGGAGGAGTTTCTGCCCAAGCTCGATCTACAGGACAAGGGCCAACTGCTGACCTGCCTCAGGAATTCCTTGCGCGGTCTGAGGGCCGAGAAGTTGATCTTTTGAGAGGAAATGCGAAGAATAGTGCAAGACACATTGTCTCGGATGTGTAGGAGTTGCTGGATGATGCTATGGACATCAAGATCGAGGTCGTTGATGACATGCTCTTTGCAGTCTTTGCCTTCTTCAGCCGCTTTTAGCACAACTTCTTTGATCAGACTCGGGCATTCAGCACTTAACCCTAACGCCGAAGCGTGGGAGTTGAACGCCTCAACCTACCGAACAGCTTTAAACATCTTGTGGGTGGTGGGGAGTCTTTCTTCAATCTCCTTGAATTCCCCACGAAGAAGCCACTTCAACGAAATAAGGGTTAGTTACGGCACAGGGTCTGTTGGATCGTTGCGGGCTGCCGAGGACAAGGCATGAGTCAAGGACATTAAAGTACTCGTTATAGGGCTTTTGGGGTTTAGTCGGTTTAGTGTTTAGGGTATGCACTGCGCCCTGCAGCCTATGAGGTTATGTTCTGGCTTGGCGTTCCTGGCTACTGTCTGGCTTGCTCTTTGTCTCTGTTGTGCATCTCTGCTGCATTTAACGGTTTGCTCAGCCCCTGACAACCTTCTTACCACTTGCATGCAGATGCATAGGTCTGGCGCCAAATCGTCAGTGCTGGCATATGGCTTTTTCCACCTCTGGCTCGCCTTGGTGATGATTCTGCTCCTGGACTACCACGAGCTTGCACAGTCAACTAAGCTCGTACGAGATGTGAGGGTGTGCAGCCTATCTTGCAAGGATGTGAGAGCCAACCCAACCAGGCAAACAAGCTCGGTAAATCCTACAGAGTGACGCGCTGGAGAGAGCTAGCGACGGGGAGAGCTGGCAACTTTCCCTGGATGCTGTCTTGTTTTCATGCCCCTCCATTGGTACTTACCCCCTAAACCCTAAACCCTAAAGAAAAACACAGTCCGGTTGGGGGCGGGGGCTTAAGCTTAGGGGGGACAACGTTCCTTAAACCTGCAGCAAGCAAGAGAGAGGGAGGGAGGTGTGACTGTTGGGGCTAACTATCCAACCAAGGGGAACAGTACGCGTGCTCACTTCTATGACTCAAACTTATACTGGATCCAAGTATGCCAGCCGTGAGGGAGTCTCGCACACCCTTCAAAGCCCCATAGCAAACAACAAGGGGGGGGCCCTCGTGGCCAAAGGGTCTAACACACCTCTCATGCCCTGTGGAAGAAGAGGGACCCTGCACCCCTTGCAGGCAGGCAAGCAAGCAAGCAAATGGGATGGCATACCACCTTCCCCGCGCCGAATTCGCTCACGACAGGTTCAGGGTTGAGTGGAAGGTCGCATGTCTTGCACTTGCAGCGGAGAGATCGGGCAACCCGGTGATGCAAGTCTACTTTGCGTTGTCAGTAGCGCGGGACCCGATTTCTGTTCCTGGACGTTGATCCTTCCGCAGCCAAGCCCAGGCATCAGAATGATGCATAAAACCCACACTCGCACGAGGGACCGAAGAGAGATGGTCGCTGCACAGCGCCACTGAGCCTCACAGGGCATGCGGCTCACAGCCGCCAGGGCCATGGGCCCACCGCACAATCGAGATTAGCGGGTCGTTCCGACAGCAAGCCGGAGATTCAGGAGTCGAATTTCCGAAAAGCGGGTGACCCACCGGGGGTTCAGAATTCGACTGCGGGAAACAGAAAAGACGTTCAGGGTGGGTAGTTCAGGGACACTGTTGTTCATTTCATGGTTTGTAAAGTTGTGTGGGCGACTCTCTGTTTTGCTTTCAGGAATCCGAGTGTCTCGCAATCCGCAAAGACACAGACAAAGCCCCAATCCAGTTCTGAGCGCCGAAATCCTAAGCAGAAGGCTCGACAGGTCCACCCAGCTGTGAGAGTTCAGAAAGAGGGAATCTGAAGAGTCGGAAGAGCTGCCGGGCTTGTGCTTAGACCCTGAACTAAATCCTAAAGACTTAAACCCCGAAACTAAGCCCTAAACCCTTACAAACCCTTAAAGACAAACCTGCAACCATCCCAAAACCCCTAAACCCCCAAGCCAAACCCTAAGCCATCCCGAGGCTAAAGTTCCCCACGTGGCGATATTCCATGACCACAAATGGCATGAACGCTCCCCTGAATCAGGAGTACCGAAGTCCCAGGGTGGCTTTCTTTATGGGATAGCTTAGACGAGTGTAGGGGCTCGCTTTCGGGTTTAGGTGGTCTGGGAGCTTTAGGGGACGCTGTTGAGCTCTTTTAGGGATTCGAAGAGCTAGCTTTGGGGTGGAGCAACTTCAACTCAGAGGTCTGGGAGTCGAGGGGTTGAGCAGGGCTCAGGGTATAGGTTTCTTCGGTTTGAGGTAGATGTAGGCTTCAGGGCTTTTAAAGGTTTAGGCTTCGTCGCTTGGGGTTTTAGGGATTGAGGGTTTAGGCCCTTAGGCGGTTGTTTCTCTGCCCATTCTCGGCACATATGGGAGCCGCGAGCCCCATTAAAGAAAGGTGCCGACCGGTGAATCTCGCCCGGCTTCTGTTCAGGATTTCGGGTTTAGGGATTCAGAGCCGGGCGAGCTCAGATTCAAGCCTGCGGAGAAAGGGATTCAAAGTCGGAGCCCAGCTCAAGCAAAGCATCAGAAAGCGATGCAGGGTCGCAGGAAATCGAAAAACATATTGCAATTCCTTTTTACCGGTACTGCTTCTACGTGAAGTTCCGAAAGCCTGTAACACAAATTCGCTGGAAACCAATGTCCGAACATCCCAATAGCCTTCTCCTATGCATCTTGTCTGCATCCGTGATGTTCTGCAGGAGGGGCTGGTTCAAGTCGCGAAGTTCAACTCCACGGACGAGATGCACGTCTACCTGATCCGTGCCTTGCTTGCGAACTTGTTGGATTCGCGTTGCTTTTTTCAACTGGCAGCTGTCAGTACTGCTGTCACTACGTTAATCCCGCCTGGTCGGAATAGCGGTGCCGGTGCGGGTGCATGCTGGTACTGGTGCTGGTGCTGGCCTGGTGCTGGTGCTGGCACTGCTGCCGGTGTTGTGGATGTTGGTTCTTGATTGCTGATGGTGTGTGTTTTGCTGCCGCTGCTGATGATGATCATCATCCTGACGCTGAGGCTGGTGATGGCACTTGTTCTGTTGCCGGCTCTGTTGCTGTTTCATCTGTTGTTTTCCATGTCATTGAACTTCTGTGCTTAATTGCGACATGAGTTGTCGGCTGGGTGTACTATGGAGGTCGGAATAAGTTAATCATTAGTCGCAGGAAGTAACATTGCCCCCTTAGTATTTAGAGCCTCTCTCTCTCTCTCTCTCTCTCTCTCTCTCTCTCTAAATAAAGACTATATATGTATAGAGAGAGAGAGAGAGAGATTAAAACAAAGGGTGGGGGGGCGGGCCGATGGCCTGAGGGTCGCAAACGTGCGACCCCTATGCCCTGCAGAAAGAAAGAAAGAAAGAGAGAGAGAGAGAGAGAGAGAGCGAGCGAGCGAGCGAGAGGAGAGTTGCACATTAGTAACCAAGACATGCTTATAAAGATTCCGCGGCAGGCAAAACTGGGTGTCCCAAAGAAACACTGAACATGTAGATCGGGGGATTACAGAAAAACCTCGAACTACATGCGTACTTTTCACACCCCCTGAAAACCCCATGAAATTTGGGGGGCCTAAAAGGCCGGGGGGTCTAACCGACTCCCCATGCCCTGGAGAAGAAGGAGAGTTGCACTGTTTTTTGGGCCAAGGTTTCCTGAAGCCCACACCCCTAGCAAGCAAGCAAGCAAGCAAGTTGCACTGTTTTTGCGACAATGTACCCCTGAACTGGCCCTAAACCCTGATTATCACCCTCGCATTTTTGTTGCAGACATCTAAAGGCCTTTAGAGTCTTTTTTATACGGGTGCCGTACTATATTGGGTGCCTAAAAAGGGGCCCTAACTTAGAGAACTAACCATTATGCCTCGCCTGGAGTGTCCGAGTGTGGACGCCGAAAGCCAGACCCATCTGCCTCGGGAACAGAACCCTAAACCCTGAGCCCTAAACCCTGAACCCGAAACCCTAAACCACTAAACCCTGAACCCTAAACCCCATACCCCTAAACCCCTCAACCCCTAAAGCCCTAAACTCTAAACCCCTAAAACCCTAAAAGGTATGGTCCAGGCCAATTGCGGCACCATCTCCGAAGCCGGCTGGCAGGCGATGGGTGGAAGAGCTTTATTCTGGAGTTCTTCTTGAATTCCTAGTCGCAGCAGTAAAATGTATGACTGCTAGTTGTATTGGTATTCTTAGTATAGGCATATCAGTAATGTGTATGACTGCTAGTTGTATTGTTGTTCTTAGCATAGGCATCATTTGTACTGTTGCTTCGTGTGTTATCAGTATTCAAAGTCTGCTGGTAATTTTAGGATTGCTACAAGTAGTGTTATTGTTGTCGATTAGTGTTTAATGTGATTATAAGCAGGCTAAGAAGTAGTATAGCAATTGCAGGAGGTAGGGGATGCGAATGTCTTTGAACTGAGTGATAGAGAATGTCAAAGGCGCTGACGATGTCGTAGACATGTTGTTGTGCTGTCCCGCAAGAAGAGTCTCTGGATCACTTGCGTCGGCTCGTGAAGAGCTGCTTGATGTTTGGTTGTTGTCCCAAACCTCGCCTGACTTGGTCGAGTGCGAGTGCCAAACGTCACTATATATTGTTAGTGTCATTCGTATCATTACAACTACTTGTATGATTACTGTGATAATTATGATTCTAAACGACGCAGAAGACCGTTATTATTTTTTCTCATGATTTTTTCTTGACGACGTTTCTATTCTGGTACTTCTCATGAACATCAAGACTGTTACTGTTATTAGTGTGTTTGGGCCGGTTTGGGAGGAGGCCTGAGGGGAGGGAAGGGGCGCGGCAAGGAGTGGGAATCCGGGAATGCGGAACGCGGACACATATGTAGGGTTCATCTCAAGTTTGATATGGGGCTTACATGAGGCTTACATGACTGCAAGACATTGAGCAGCTTTCGTGAAGCCTCGGCCCGACAAAACTCTGAACTCCAAGTTACAACGACCCCATCCGCGAGGAATTGGTTCACTTTGCCGGAACCGTCGTACAAGGAGACGGAGATGTCGACGTCACGTATGATGACCTTTTGAAGGCTGGCTTGAGAGTGGTTCTGGCAGCATTCAGCCCCCTGCCGCGACGAGTAAATTTCAGTGGGTGCTGCGGAAACCAGTAACCAGTATGGGCCCTGCTCGCTGCAAGTGCCGGCAGGCGCTGAAAGACCTGTGGTTCCTGGATTTCCCAACAGGACATCGCGGGGGTATGGGCTCACTTGTGGAAAGGGTGGACGTTCATCCGATGTGATGTCACTGTCAAGCAATGAGCTTTTGACTACTCACATGCTCTGTGCATTGAAGCTTTTCGCGTGTGCGAGTCCTGTACAACAGTTTTTGGATCACATTCCTTTTGACTGACGGCTTGCCCTGCTCGCAATGCTTGATTGCGGCAGGAAATCCGATTGAAGTTGGTTCCTTGGTTCGCGTGAATGATCGACGGCGTGGAACAGTGACCAAAGTCCATCATGACGACAAGTCCCCCGGCCAAGATGTGTGCCGCGTTTGTGTTGACGGCTTCTGGCTTCTCTTGCTTGGCAAGACAGCGAGTCCGCAGTCGCCAGTCACTAGGCGCATCTTATTGTAGTCAGTGGCTGAATTATAAGACTCAGACAAGCTCGTCATGCCCCCTAGGGCCGAAACGTTCAGCACACATCCCTGATAGGAGAGCGGGCACAACCCATATCAGCACCGCGCTCGCTCCAGGGTAGACGTGGACTACGACGAGCCGACGAAAACCGACCCCACTGACATGCCACCTGGCAGGATGCAAGACATCGGAGCAGCTAGTAAAGGTTCTGCCGCAAGCGCCGCATCAGCATCTTCTTGTTCTCTCCTGGTTTGTTGAGGCTTCCAGCTTCCTACCAGTAGCTGCCTAGATCCAAGGAGTGTGAAGAAGGCCCATGCGAAGGATGTGGCCGTGCGGCCCTACGCCCCTGGCATCCCACGGATGCTGGTGCCAAAATCCTTGCGGGGACTTGTGACATCGATCCAGTTCCAGGCTGGGAGCCCGGTAGTTGTATAAAATACAAAAATTAAGAAAAACCCTATAGGGCTCCGAATAGCCCAAAGGTACCATTTGCATACTTGGAGCCCTTGAAAAATGCTCAGGTGGAATCCGTCAAGAAGGCCCTCCTCCCAGCCACCGAAGCGCTGCGCGCCTTCTTCGTGTGGAAGCGGCTTGGACGCAGCTTCCTTTGCCTAGAAGCTTGGCGCCCCTGCAATCTGAACATGTTTACTGATCCGCAGAGTGAAACCTTGACCTTCTGAAGCCAACGGCGCAGTTCATCAGCGGGCCCCTGCTGTCATGTGGCATTGCAAGGCGCCCAGTGAAGATGAGCTTGCTCATCATATACCTGGTCTTCCGTTCCTACGTGTCTTTCTATGCCTACTTTTTCGACAAGAGCTGGTGCCATGTAGCCATTGTCATCATGACATGGCTGCGCTTCTTGGCGGATTTAGCAAAAGTACGGCTTGCCGTAAATCAGCTTCAGTCGAACAGCTCACTGCATTCCGCTGGGGTTCTTGCAGTTCCTGTAGGTCATGCAAAGAAAGCATGTCTGTAGAGTGCGACTAAGGATGACGAAGGTCAGGTATTTGGAGTCATGTTGTAGACACCCAAGGCCTGTTAGTTCCCGGCGGTTTCTGTTTCTTTGTGCGAGTGCTTTATTGGTTGATGGCAGAACTCTGCACATACGCAGTTCAGGCAAATCCGTGTCCTTGTGAGTCTGTGAGGCTCCGTATGCCTAGACATGCATTCGCATTTCTTCGGAGTGGTGCGTGGCTCAGGAAATGCAGTATTTGCAATACTTGTCCTCATTGCCGCTTGGTCGCAGCACTCCTGGAGTCCTGGAGCTGGTCCTACTATGACAAGTACACCACAATTATTACTATTACCATCACTACTATTACCACCATTATTACTATAACCATCACTACTACTACCACCATTATTACTGTTACTAGTACTACTATTGCTATTACAATTACTGCTAGTAGTGCTACGATTGCTACTGTTCCTATTACTACTGTTACTACTATGACTATACCAATGCTACTAGTACTGATTGCTACTATAGGGACCATTGCTCCGAGGTGCTTTTCGGACAAGCGAGGCTATGGAAGGTACTTCGCGCGATTGGCCTGATGGCTGCAGGGAAATGCTGCGACCGGCGCCAGGCACTGGGTTTAGGGTTCAGGGGTTTGCTCTTTGGGGTTTTAGGGCTTAGGGGATGAACTCTTCGCAGCAGTCTGCATGAGATGCAAGGCCTTGCGACATCTTGTAATCCATCCTAGGCAGTACTGTCAGTACTGACTGCAGAGTGGGGATGGCAGGGGCTCTCCGGTTGGAACGAACAACACAGTTGCACTACTCCTGTTGTCGTCAGGGGGGCTGGGGGTCGGAGTGTCTGAATGGATTCGTACAAGTTCGTAACAGTACGTCGAAAACGCGGCCTTGAGTTGCGGTTGCCTTCAGAAGCCAGCTCTGCCCCCTTAGCTCTCAACCCTGAAACTCACATGCTTGTTGCTCGTCGTGCCCGGAACCTGGCGTGGCCATGCCTGGCTGTGGGATCCGGACAGTTGGACTATCGTGCTCTGCCTCGCCCGGAAGGGTCCCAGTTGTGAGAGTCGAAACCCACAGGCACGAGTCGACTTGAGAGTGAGCCCCGAACCCTCACACCCAAACCGAAACCCTCGACCCAAAACCCTACCCTCAGAGGAACCCTAGAAGCTTCTTGTGGAGCGAGGCACCGGACAAGTGGAAGTTCTACAAGCATGCAACGGAGCCGTACCTGAAGAAGACCCAATGAGCTCAAAGAAGCCCCTCGGACGGGGCCTCTTGTGAAGACGCTTGATCGAGATATTTTTAAAGCGGGTTTCTCAGGTCCATAGGGAATGCATCACATTATCTACGGCCTTGTATCCCTGCTATCAACGGAGGTCCTTCATGAGAGCCCCAGAGACAGAAAAGCCGAGGACTTCCTGGCACCTGCTCGTGAGTATAAAGTGCTTCTCTCAGGCACAGCAGGAATGTTGCCAGGCAAGCATCTTCCCTGGACCAAAGCTGGCAAGGTAGTGCATTCCATCATATTCAATGTCCTCGGTCCTGGAACTTGCTTGCGAGGATGCTTTCTTGAAGACCACTGTGTGGTGCTTGCCTGCTGGTGCCAAATCAGTCATGATATGATTCGCTAGAAAGGCTGAAGACCTAAAGATGCAGTATGCTCTTGCCGACTTCGCTTACAGACTGATTTGACTCTCACGCGCGATGCCTGCGGGAAGCAAGTGGCTCCTGCAGCCACTTGGTTCAAGCTTGTGCGTTGCGCGCGGGCAACGGTTGGCCGGCTAAGTAGCTGCGTAACCGCAGCGCTGCTTTGAAGTCCTTTCAAGTTGCCTCGTTTCACACTTGCCCCTCTTTGCTCAGGAGCACCTGAGTTTTATTGAGCAGAGGGCAAAGGGGTCATGCCAAGCCTTAAGGAGGAAGCCAGTTCTCTCCACTTCTCAGCTTGGGGCCTGTTGCACAGACATGACCCAACCGTTTGCATCGTTTCCTTCGTTGGCGACACAAGAGCCAGCCAGGAAAGGGTCGGGCTTTCCGGTGTTTATTTGCAGCCCAGCAGCTTTTCCCCTCTTGACTTGTCACAGATCCGACCCTGGCCTCCAAGCTTTCCACAGCGCACCCCCCTGGCACGATGTCCAGGCAAAGCTCTGGCATCAGATTCGCTTCATCGCATCGCCAGAAGTCAACTGAGGGTTCGATCCTGCTGTTGACTTGGCATATTTTGCAGCCGAGCTGTCTTGCAGGGCAGCAGCTATGCGCCCGCAGCTAGCCGCTTCATGAAGTTGCATTTGTTTGAGCTGAACACGGGCCGAAGCTGCCTGCATGCGGCAATTAAGGCATCTGGCATACAGACACCCAAGGTTAGTCGAAAACATAGAAACTATAGTCCTTTCTTTGCTGGCTTTCTGGATCTTCCGAGTCTTGACAGCAAATTTCCTGTTCGTATTAAGGTACACCGCCTCTAATTCCCGGGCAAGTTTGCGATAAAGTCTCCGACACAGCCTTCCTCAATGCAAAAGCAGTTGTAGTCGTAGAAGTATCCGTCGTAGTAGTTGTCGGCTTGGTCTTCGTCGCCGTAGTCGTCGTAGTAGTAGTAGCAGTAGTAGTAGCAGTTGTAGCAGTAGGAGCAGTAGTAGTAGTAGTAGTAGTAGCAGCAGCAGCAGAAGCAGCATCATCAGCAGCAGGAGTAGTAGCAACAGTAGTAGTCGTAGTCGTAGTGGTAGTCGTCGTCGTAGTCGTCGTCGTCGTCGTCGTAGTACTTCGTAGTAGTAGTAGTAGTAGTCGTCGTCGTCGTCGTCGTCGTCGTCGTCGTTGTCGTTGTCGTTGTTGTTGTTGTTGCTGCAGTTGTTGTAGTCGTAAGAATAGTGAATAGTAGTCGTCGTCGTTGTTGTTGTTGCTGCTGTTGTTGCTTGTTGGTGTTGCTTGTTGCTGATGGTGTTGGTGGTGCTGGGGCTGGGGCGGGGGCGGGGGCTGGGGCCGGGCTGGCGTTGTCATTGTCGTTGTGATTGTTTTTGTTGTTGTTGTTGTTGGCGGTGGTGGT